TCTCTACATTACAGGCCCAGAATCTGTGCTAACTGTAGTAGTGTGTCTGTATATCACAGGCCCAGGAACTGTGCTAAATGCTCATCCTGTCCAATAAAGCAAGGCTCTAGGCAAATGCTATAAATCTCTGCTTCTTTGGCTTTAGGAACAGTCAGAGGAGTCTGACTTCTTGGTTTCTTTGCCGGAAGCCTTTCACTTACTTTACTGTTAGAAATGTTAAGTGTTCCTATATTCAAACTGATTCCCCTATGCTGTGAATCACGGTTTTACTCAAAATAGAGGTCATTACAGTGTCATAAATATCTGAAGCATTCCCTCAGATTACCTGGAACTAGAGCTTAATGACCAACCAATAAAATATCTTAGCAAGGCACTTTCTTACCTTCCTCTTTAAGAATCAGCATTGTTTATCTGCAGTTAAAAATCCCAAAGACGATATAATCCAGGTTCTCTGTGTAATTTAAAGGCTGCTAAGATATATATGATCTTGACTTCAAAATTTGTGCTAAGGATATACTGGTTTGGAAAAAGAGGTTATGGTTTTGTTTCTACAGAAGATGAGAGCCTGTGGATTGCTTCTAGGCTAATATGGTTTGATCAGCCAAGACCCCCTGAAAGGTCTCTGATGACAGCTATGGCCCCAGATGGTTCAATATCCAAAACCAGCTTCAAAGCAACTGGTTGAGATGATCCATCCTCACAGATGACTACAGCCAAGATTTAACTATAATTCTTAATTTTTTCAGCATCCCCATAAGATTACCAGCACCCCTAATCAGTAGGAAGTAGTAGGAGAAGCTACACCCAAATTCCCAAAATGTTGTTTATAAATGTTTATTTTTATTTAAAGGGGGTTGATTATAAATGCAATGTCTTTCTAAAGAAGAAAGGGGGATATAGATATTATAGGATGAAAGGGTAGATTATTGAATCTACTTTTAAAGAGCAACAACGTGTTTTACATTGCTATGGATTTTAGTTTATTGATACAAATTTAAAATTAATTTTGTTACACTATATATTTCTACTCTTGTTTAAGGTATTATGTTTATGCAACTCTTTTAAAATTGAAATGTATAATTAAGAAATATAGATTAATAATTAGTCATTTATGATCATCAAACTTACAGTCGTGTTAGTTAAGTTTTCTAGGGTATATATAGATATACTTCAATTAGGTGGGTAATCTCCAAACACTTCAAAGACCTACAGAATATGGCATTTCAAATGTTTTAAGAATTTAGACTTTTCTGGACAGTGAGACATGTCTGCTCCTGGCAGCACTGATTTGCTTCGAAAAGGAATATGGGCATTGAAGACACTCCATATGGGGTTTATGTTCTTTATGGCAAAACTAGCCATTTGGGTAAGAAACTGCTCTTGCCTGGACTTCTTGACATTATGTTATATAGACTGGACATGCAGGACCCATGGGAAAGTGACTACTAAACTTTGCCTAAGCAGAATGAGATGGTCCTTCAGGTTCCTGCTTCACAGAGGAGACTGCCAGACATTCTTCAGGATACAGGGAAAAGCCACTGATGAACTCTACCAATAGGCAAGACAATCCTTCAAATTTCCTGCTTTACTAAAAAGTCTGCTGGAGACTCTAGGCCTATAGGCTGAAGATGGATGCCCCAATGTTGCAGAGGAACTTTGGATGACTGTCCAGGCAGCCAAATGTCTCAGTCATTTTTAGAATTATGGAAGTTGCTTACAATGCATTTACTGTTTACTTAGGTAATATTATATCCCTCTGGGGTCTTTGATATAGTTGAAGACTAAATAGTTATAATTTTCCTTGGTTATGGTAAAAGAAAAATTAGATATGAAACCTTAGACTCACAAATATAGGACAGATAGAATATTGTCTTTAATTTTGCCCAATAGAAATAGACTAGATATTGTAACTGTAATTCCTTCTTGATAATTGTTCTATTATATATAATTTTACTATGTTAAATTTGAAACCTTCCTTTTTGATTAGATAGAAGAGAGGAAGTGCTGTGGGATGTCTTTCTGTATGCTGTGAATATGTTTTGCTCCCATTGGTTAATAAATAAGCTGCTTTGGCCTATGGCAAGGCAGCTTAGAGGCAGGCAGGAAATCCAAGTGGAGACACAGGAAAGAAGAAAGGCAGAAGCAGAGAGACACAAGCCCGCTGCCAAAGGAGCAACAAGATGTCAGCAGCCGGTAATGCCAGGGCCACGTGGCAACATATAGATTTATAGAAATGGGTTGACTTAAGATGAGAGAGCTAGCTGGCAAGAAGCCTGCCATAGGCCATACAATTGGTAATTTTAAAAAAATCAGCATTGTTCAGTGAGTGGTGTCATATAGTCCTAATTTCAAATTAGGCAAGGTAAAGAGATGAAGTTTTGGCAAGACCCAGATCCAACAGATAATGCTAACCCCAGAAAATAAAGACATTCCCACTCAAGTGCCTCCAAAATACAAACATTTGCAAGCTTTGGAGATGAAAGAGCCTCTACACCCAATACATGCCTCCTCTGTGTGAGATGCTGGCCTGCTTTTAGAAAAGCAGGTTTCTTGTTTCTAACTGCACTCATTTAAAGCTGGCTGTTATTTGATGTTCTGTAATGTGTAATAGTAATGGTACCCATTATGTTTTCTGAAGAGAAAGAATGCATGCTTGACTTTTAAATCATGCACCTAGAGCAAGCATTTGGCTCCAGTGGCTTTCATCTTTACTGTGGTCTCCCTTTAGCTTAAAATAATAATATAGCTGGAGCCTGTAGTGAAGGAGAGAGGAAAAGTGAACTGCTTTATTTCACATAAAAAGCCTCTAATGTAATGATTTTCTTATTTGAGCCCATTCACACACAAACAGCCTATCTATGGAGTAGGCTTTTTTGCAAATACAGCTAGCTGCCTGAATGTCTGTAGAAACACATTCTGGAAGTGAGAGCAATCTCTCCCACTAGAAGGCAGTTCATCAAGCAAGAGGTGGAAATCTGGCTTAGTCTCTAACTGCCTAGCAGCAGTCTTGGTTTGTAGCTCAGGCACCCAGCTTCAGGGTTCTGCTCAGCATTGGGGTAAGCTTGAGCTAGAGGAACCTCTAGGCCTACAGGGACTCTAAAGAAAGCACCAATAAAGGTGGCCATGGCCAAAGCTGGCCTTCTGCCTGTTTTGTAGATGGAGTTTTGCTACAAAATAGCCAAGCCTGCTTGGTAATGGACAGTCTAAGGCTCTTCATGCTGTAGTGGCAGGATTGGGGGCCTGTGACAAGATACAGAATGGACTATGGAAGCAGAATATCGGCTCACTGCCTTCTAGAACCAGAGCAGTCAGATGAGTCTGCAATCAATATCAGTCAATCACCAATCAATCAATATTGCCAATCCGTTCTAGATCATCTTACTATCCATATTCACATTAAATATTGCCATTCTATGTCTTGGGAGCGTATGTTCTCTGGAGTCCCTACCTTTGGAAGTGTTTTCGGGGACAAATCATCATGAAGTACAGGGCCATCATCATGTACTAAGGGCATTCTGACTTTCTCTGATAGGAACATGCAGTGTCATGACCTGTTTGCAGTGTCTGCTGTCTGTTATCTGTGTGCTTTCACATACATGCAGGTACAAGCACTGAGATTGTCACTCTAACTGGCTGGGGCTGCCCTTCAGACCCTCAGGAACATGGGGAGAGTGGCTGAGGTGGAGTCACACTGATTTCCCCCTGTATGAGCAGGTTTTCTACACAGAAGAAGGGGGTGAAGAAGTACCTGGCCATGCTGGCAGGGGAACAGAAGTAGGAGTGGTGTTTTCTGAAGTGAAGTGAGCTGGGGAGAGGATGTATGATTCTGAAGTCCTTGTTCCTTATGGGTGCAATCTATTCTGGTTTGCTCAGGTGCTTCATCTGAGCACATCAAGAGTTCAAGTCTTGGTGGCTAGGAAGCCAGGGTGTGATGGCATGGAGAGAATGTTTTGGATCATTGGGAGTTTTCCAATTTCCAGTTACTTTGGGTTCTCAGGCATATTAGAGAATGGATTCTCAGAGGAATTGCCTGTACATTTGGTTCAGCCTAGGGTGGGGAAGTAACATGAGCAAATATATCTGAAAGCCAGGCTATTTCATGATGTGCAGAGGAGTATGGGGATCCTGCAGCCATGACATATAAGAGGCCAGGCACTGACTTGGTAGTAAGCTGAAAGGTGGAGATGGTGCCATACTCTGAGATCTCATGGGTTGATTCCAGTCAACAGACACATTTTGGTCCATGAATCTTTGATAGTTTCTAAGTTAACTGTTGACATTTAAAAATTTGGATATTTCATTAAAAAAACCATCTGGTTTTCCAACATTTCTTGCAAATTCAAAGTCTCTGGATGTACTGGGCTTCATGCCTTCTTTCCAGTGGTCATTTATAACTGAGAGTGGTTTGCTTGAGAGTGAACCAAAGTATTCTGGGTCAGCTTATCCCTGACCTTTTAGCTTTTGGTGGTGTTTGCCCAGCCCCTGGGTTCTTTGTATGCACAGGCAACTCATGCAATGGCAGCCTGTTGTCACTCTGGTGGTTGGTCTGCTCTCTCTGACCTTGCTAAGCATTTCATAGCTCATGTCTGCCATATGTGATCTGATCACATTCCATCTGATTCACTGCTGCTGGGATAGGCAGCCCACTTGGAAAAGATACATTGATGTGTGGTCACTAAGCCTGCAGAACCATTTGTTATATGAATCAGGAAGACTTTGAAGAACAATGTACTCAGTGCACAGGGGTGATTCTAGGAGGACAAAACACTAGCCTTTCACTGAAACTATCACTTCTCAGCCACTCTCCTGGGAATGATGTCACTTCTGAAGAAGAGAGAAGCATGTTTTAGGGACATTTTCAGAGGAAGTCATAATACTTAATGGCTTGGAAATAATTGCTGCTAAGATTCTCAGGTTGGGCTTTAGGATGCCTGTATTTCACTTTAGGTGATACACAAAAGAAGACACACAATGAAAATTAAGGAAGAATGTGTAGATACCTGTCATACTGTTAGGAGTCATAGGTTAGTAGTCATGCTGTGTCCTCTTCTCCACTGGCATTTCCTACAAAGAGACAAAATAATAATACATATTACAATCTGCACTTGACTTTTTATTGAGACAGGATCTTACTATGTAGCACTAGCAGGCCTGGAACTTGCTGTGTGGACAAGATTGGCTTCAAACTCACAGAAATCCCTCAGCCTCCGTCTCCTGAGTGCCAGGGTTTGACTTATTTAATAAATATATTTTATTTATTCTTTGACAATTTCCCCACATACCCCAAACATACACCCTTCCCTCTTTATGTTTTCTCAATTTTTTATTTTTAATTTTTTTCAAATCCAGTGAGTCCAACTAGTGTTGCCTATTGGCATGTTGACTGGTCTTGCTGGCTTGATTGTGTGTGTGTGACCATAGCTTCAGTGAGTCCATGAGTTCAGAAGCCAACATGTCATAGCACTCTGCCCCATCCTCCAGCTTTTACATTCTTTCTGCCTCCATCTTAATTTGTTGTTATTGTTCCAAACAATATTGTGTTCACTAATGGACTTGATTAAGATTGCTCACTCTAACTTGGAACTGGGGTTTAGAAACAGAAAGGCATTATATGGCACACACACAAGTCAGCAAAACCTTGATTTTTATCTCCGGCTTCATTCAATAATTAGGCTTTTAAAACTATTTTTTTAAAAGTACCCCCGCCCCCACTATTCTTTGGTTTGTTTTTAAGAGAGCTGCCACACTATGCACAGGCTATTTTCCTATGACTAAGATGTTTAAGCATCTCTAACCCAGAGCTTCTCACAGTGCATGCTGTAGACTAGCAGCCTCAGCCTTCATGGTGCCTTGAACAAGACCCCAGATGACTCATATCTTAGACATCTTGTTCTTAAGAATGGACTCCCTCACCTGCCCATTTATGACATTTCCTCTTGTCAGAGCTGCTCTTGGCCCTTCACCAATGCATTTATGAAATCTATGAGCAAATGAAAGACTGACACTCAAACTGGAGAGGGAGGAGGCACAGTGGGGTCAAGAACAGAGGCATACAGGCTGGAGAAGTATGCTGAAGGATGCACACAAGCAGCTGGTACACACAGGTCAGACTCCTTCAGTGTATTGCTAGGGATTTTTTCTGGAAGGGGGTCTGTGCTGTGGAATAACCCTCTTGTACACTGTAAAGATTTGTCGCTTGAATTAGTTTAATAAAATGCTGATTGGCAGTAGCCAGGCAGGAATTATAGGCAGAACAACCAAACTAGGAAAATGATAGAAAGAAGAAGGGAAGAGTCAGAGGAGATGTAATTAACCACCAAATAAGCAGGATGTGTAGAAAATGAGGTAACAAGCCATGAGCCATGTGGCACAGTATACATAAGAAATATGGGTTAATTTAAATGTTAGATATAAATATATATAAATGTTAAAGAGTTAGATAGTAACAAGCCTGAGCTATCAGCTAAGTATTTATAAGTAATATTAAGCCTCTGTGTTGGTTATTTGGGACTCCCAGCTGGGATTGGGAAAGAAACATTCACCTACAGTTCTGTGACCAGTGTAGGACCATAGAAGCATGTGTCTCTAGAATGGTCCTGAAGCCTAAGACATGGGTTCAAGGGTCAGCACTGCTATGTACTAGCTGTGGGGTCCTGAAAAGCAATTTTTCTCTTTTTTTTTAAAAAAATAAAAGTTTGTTATTTATTTTACTTACTAATCACAGTTTCCCTTCCCCCTTCTCTTCCCATTTTCTCCCCTCACCTCCTCCCCCACCCCTGCCCATTCCTCAGAAAGGGTAAGGTCTCCCATGTGAGTCAACAACGCATGGCATAGCAAGTTGAGGCAAGACTAAGCTCCCTCCCCCTGCATCAAGGCTAAGCAAGGCATCCCACCATAAGGAATAGGTTCCAAAAACCAGTTCATGCACCAGGAATGGTTTCTGAGCCTACTGTTAGGGGCCCCACAAACAGACCAAGCTACATAACTATCACCCACATGCAGAGGGCCTAGATCAGTCCCATGCAGGCTCGCTAGCTGTCTGTCTAAAGTTTGTGAGCTCTCACAAGCTCAGGTCAGCTGTTTCTATGGGTTTCCCCATTATGATCTTGACACCCCCCCCACACACACACACACTTGCTCATATAATCCTTCCTCCTCTTCAACTGGACTCCCAGAGCTCAGCCCAGGGCTTGGCTGTGGATCTCTGCATCTGCTTTCATCAGTTACTGGATGAAGGTTCTCTGATGACAATTAGGGCAGTCACCAATCTGATTGTAGGAGAAGACCAGTTCAGGCACCCTCTCCACTATTGCTAGGAATCTTAGTAATTTACATAATGGAGTATTACTCAGCAGCAAAAAACAATGACATCATGAAATTTGCAGGCAGATGGATGGAACTAGAAAATATCCTGAGTGAGGTAACCCAGACTCAGAAAGACAAACATGGTATGTACCCACTCATAAGTGGATATTATAAAGCAAAGTATAGCCAGGCTACAGCTCACAGCTCCAGAGAAGCTAGGTAACAAGGAGGACCCTAAGAGGGATGCATGGATTGCCTTGGGAATGGCAAATAGATGAGATCTCCTGGATAAACTGGGGGTGAGGGGAGAGTATAGAAGGGAGGGAATGGGGGATGGGAACATGAGGGATCAGGATGGTCGAGTTGGGGGAGGGATGGAGAGGGAGAGCAATGAAACTGATATCCTGATGGGGGGGCATTATGGGGTCAAGGAGAAACCTAGTGACAGGGAAACTCCCAGGAATCCATCCACAAGGATGACCCCAGCGAAGAGAAGCAATTTCTAAGCACTGGAATTCCTGTTTCTTCAATGCAAAACGAGAAAATGGACGCAGGTTTCACTTATGTCACTTGGCTGCTGCTGAGGCTTACAGGGTGGAAGGGGATTTGTAGGTGAGACACAGCACACTGAGCTTTGGTAGCCCTTGGATGAGGAGCCATGGTCTTGTGGTAGGACAAGAGGAAGCCAATGGGCAAAGAAGCACATGAATTATGTTCACAATACAGCTCTCTCTATAGCCACTCAGTCTGATTCTACACTGATGTGGTGGCCATGGTTTCTTGTCTTTATCATAGTTCTTATCACACCTAGCAGAAATTATAGGTTTGCATGGCCACCTTTCCCATGAACTGTAATCTCTTATGGCACACCCTGCTATTCTCATTTTTCTATCTTCTTCATCAAGGAGAGTATTGGATACATAAACATATGTTGAACAATGGCTATAGTAAAGTGAAACTGCTGTGACATGCATGATTCATGCTGCCTGAACTGTCATCTGAGAGAAAAGATGGGAAGTAGCTACTGGGAAGTGAATTCTTACAGCTGACCTTTTTCAAAGGTCTCCAGCCACCAGCGTTCAGGCCCAGCCCCTTTTACATGCTCAGCATCTTAGAGTAAGATGAGTCAGGCTTGGAGATGTTGACTGTGGGACCATGGCTTGTGCCCCAAGTCTAATGGACTCTGTTGATTATAATAGCTTTGCTATTAAGCCCCTCTCAGCCCTGGAACTTGCCATGTTTTCCCACCACACAACTGGAATGCTTCAGAGGATGATGAGGATTATGGATTCAGAGGGGAATGAGGGCTGTAGTTCAGATGAGCAACTAAAGTGCCCCACCTCTGGCCATTGGTTCAAGGCCTGAAGTGGGATATGATGCCTCCTCTGGATGCCTCCTCTGGACATGTGGAAAAACAGAAAGGAAAGGGAGAACAAAGAGTTGGTAGAGAGGAAAGGAAGGAGGGAGGGAGGAGAGAGAGAGAAAGAAATAATTTCCTCTCAAGGGGAAGGTAAAACTACAACTGTTTGAGACCAGAGCAGGGGAAGCCTGATAGTCCCAAGCCTCATACCTGGCTTCAGTCTTCCTCCAGGCCCATTCCTATCCCCTCCTGGCCACTCACCTCCTCCTTGGTGACCTTTGGAAAATACACCCTCTTTCATATGAGCTGATTCAATCACAGTTGCCACCTGACTGACAGCTCCCGACTTCATACACAGCAATAACCCCGTGTGGTGAAATAGAGGGTCCTCCTTTCTCATCTCCGTACTGGCCATACATTCCCAGTCGTATTCTTGCAACACCATTAACTTAAAAGTTTCTTTATCTTCAAAATGTTGACTGAATGGGCAAATGTACTACAGAAATAAATGTAATCTGTGGGGCAGAAGTGACTTGGAGCAGGAAACAATCTTATCAGTATTCCAAAGGTCAGTATCGTAAGCCTCAGTGCTAACCTCACTGGCTGGTCCTCAGTACTTCTTCAGTGAGAGTGAGGTTTGTACTGTATCATCACTGTGCCATGGTGATAGCAGGAGATGGTATTACCTTCACTCTACTGTTAATGGTGTGCTGGGAAACTGTTACTGTAGTACTTTAGTAGTACCTAGCATGAAGTATTATTACCATTGCCCTTCAGTGAGTTCTAGATTTATTTATTTTCCCCAGTGTGTGTGTGTGTGTGTGTGTGTGTGTGTGTGTGTGTGTGTGTGTGTGTGGTGGGTATGTGTGTGTTTGTGGAGGCCCGAGGTTGATAGGGAATTATCTTTGATTATTTTTCTATGTTGTTCATTGAGACAGAGTCTCCCAATCAAACCCAGAGCTCATTCAAATTGCTAGCATTGTTAACCTGTTTAGGGAGCCCGTCTCTGCCTTTTGAGGATGGAACTACAGGCAGGGACACCATGACATCAGGCATGTACTTGGCTCCTGGGGATCTGAACTCAGATCCTTAGGCTTGTGCAGCAAGTGCTTAACCACTGAGCCATCTCCCCAGCTCTGGGTTCTGGGGTTTTAAGTGTGACTCCAGGGATGCAGCTAACAACTTGTCAGGTATCACTCTTCCCAGGGCTTGAGTTCTACCTATCTTATAACACGCTGGGGGGAGGGCCTTCTCCAGAGCTGTGAAGGAGTCTGGGGCTCAGGAGTTTGTGGGGCCACAGGAGGAAACAACTCAGAGTTAAATCAGGCTAGCTGACTTGTATGCCTGAAAGGAATGGGCACAGTGCAGGCCTTTGTGAGGTGGAGCAGGGAGGTGTACC